GGTCCCCAGATCACCTAGAAGCAATTAGTAAGAGTTGCCTCAGGCACTTACTAACCTTCCTTGGAAATTTTGGTTATGTTGATTCGAACCATAATTTTGCCTTTTAAAAAAGTGACCCATTAGGGGAGACTGAACTTCTATTGAGGATGATGGGAAAATTGGGAAGCATTAATGGTGATGGATGAACAATATGATGAAGATTGTTGCTGAACCCATTTATGTGAAGAATGCAAAAATGGCAAATGTTTTGTTACCTATATACTTATATTTATTGGAAACAAACAAATCAAACAAAAACAACTAAATAAATAAAGTGACCCTGATGATTTGTACTTGGGAAGTCTTGACTTAAGATAAAAAGGGGAGTTCTATAAACCTGCTTTAGAGTTTGAGAAAATAACAAATGATGAAGTGTTTGGTGCCCAATGGAAAGGTTGTTGGTTTGAGCCCATCCAGAGGCATCTCTGAAGAAGCCCTGACAATCTACTTCTGAAAGGTCACAGCCATTGGAAACCCAATGAAGAGCAGGCTGAGCTACCCTGAAATCCATGGGGTAGACAGGAGTCTGGATCAGCAAGACAGTCACTGATACTGGTAACTTAACAAATAGGCTCTGAATGAATGAATGTGGATCAGAGAGATGGCTTGTCATGAATTGCAAAGTAGCTCTTTTGATTGTTGACAATATATGAGAAAACTTCAGGCTTCATTTCTCAGACCTTTATTCTTCTAAACAAAGGTCATTCCTCTGCATGTTATCCTCTGTTAACCACAGAAGCCCAAAGTTCTTCGATAGCTAACTTGAGCTCTAGCTTTCTTTCCTCCACTCTTTAGCCGTTCTCACAATCTCTTTGCTCTCTCCTCAACAGGTGGTCTTGGGAGGAACTATGGAGCAGAGCAATAGCCGGGTGGAAGACTTCCCTCTCAATGTGTTTTCGGTCACCCCTTACACGCCCAGTGCTACTGACATCCAGGTGTCAGATGATGACAAGGCGGGGGCCACCCTCCTCTTCTCAGGCATCTTCCTGGGACTGGTGGGCATCACCTTCACCATCATGGGCTGGATCAAATATCAAGGTGTGTCCCACTTTGAATGGACCCAGCTCCTTGGACCCATCCTGCTGTCAGTTGGCGTGACGTTCATCCTGATTGCCGTGTGCAAGTTCAAAATGCTCTCCTGCCAGTTGTGTAAAGAAAGCGAGGAAAGGGTCCTGGACTCAGAACAGATACCGAGTGGACAATCTTTTGTTTTTACTGGCATCAACCAACCCATCACCTTCCATGGTGCCACTGTGGTACAGTATATCCCTCCTCCTTATGGTTCTCAGGAGCCCACTGGGATGAACACCGCTTACTTGCAGCCAGTGGTGAGCCCATGTGGTCTCATACCCTCTGGAGGGCCAGTGGAACCCACACCAAGTCCTCCTCAGTACTACACCATCTACCCTCAGGAGAACGCTGCATTTATTCGGGATGGAGATGGTGGGAATGCCAGGTATGATGCATGTGTTGAAGGCCTGCTGCTGTATTATAAGGAAGGTGGTGGGATGCACACTTCTCTGTTGCTCAGGATGGTGGCATCGTGTGTGTGAGTGGGCTGTGATGGATCTGTTTTCTGTTAACATTCCAGGTCAAGTGTTTATGAGGACCAGCTAGAAGAGACACAGCTAGAAGTTGATGACTGTGCCTGCTTTTCTCCTCCCCGCTACGAGGAAATATACTCAGTGCCTCGTTAGAGACTAAAATGCTAAGGGAGCAAACATCTTAGTCATTGTTCCCTGACAACTGAGTTCTTCTATGCTGCAGCCTTCAGAAGTTAAACAGCTGAGTCACCCAGGCAGATATTTTCAAGTAGCAGGGGTGGGGGGCCGGGGAAATGGGAGGTAAAATGACTCAGCTTAATAGAAATCAGACCAGGGTGAGGAACTTCCTGTCTAGTACAGTATCTAAATCTGTCATGTAAGATATCCTCTGAGCAAAGCTCAGGTGCAAGAATGTCACCTGTTTGTCTACACACCCCCATCTTTACAGGAAGACAGAGCTGTCCTGAGATTAACTTCAGGGAAAGATCACTTTTCTGAGACCTCAGGGGTTTCCATAGTTGTGAGGGTGGGGTTCCAGGAAGTCAAAAAGCAAAAACAGGCCCAACTGGAGATTTCCCAATGCCTGCCCTCAGCTCCAAAGGGAGCTTGCATTTCCTTGATGACTTTTTGCCATCTGGTGTCTCTTGAGGACTCCAGGTAATTTGATGTTGTTGTTGTTAAGTGTCATTGAGTCCATTCTAACTCATAGCAACCCTGTGTAGGCTTTCTGAGATGTGGCTTTTGAGTTTGAACTGACAACCTCAAGGTTGGTTTGAACCTCAAATCAATGCTTATCCTACAGCGCCACACGAGGACTCCATCCAGGTATCTTAAGGGCAACAGCAGATAAATAAATAGAACGCAAAATAAAATAAAGAAAATTATGTCACCTGTTAGAATAGTATTGTTGTTGTTAAGTGCCATCAAGTCAGTTCTGACCCATAGTGACCCTGTATAGGGTTTCCAAGGAACACGACAAGGTGACAAGGTGAGCTTGAACCACTGACCTTGCAGTGCAAATGATTTTGTAGTCCAGTGCATTAACCCCACAGTGCCATACCAGGACTCCTAGAATAGTATTGATAGCTGGCTAAATCACTAAAATTTAAAAAACACTATGATAATGGTGTATATAAATCCATAAGTGATCACTGGGCCACAGTGACATGTCTGTGAGGTTGAAGCTTGAATGGGATGTACATGGCTCAGCTCTTTGTCTACCCCAGGCCAGGATCTGTGCGGGGTATGAACACATGGGGTCCTGTGTGCCCTCAGCATGCTTCTAGATGAGTTCTGTTGAATCAGATAGAGTACAACTGCCAAGTTATCACCAAGAAAATCAGGAATAATGGACATAAAGGTGCCACTGCTGAAATCTTGGAGGTTTCCATAGTGTCGAGGGTAAGGATCGGAGCCAAGACAAAGTCACTGTCTTCATAAAAAAATCCTCACTCATTTTCAACAATGCCTTTAGTCTCTCTGAATCTGGACTGTGTAATCAACAACCAGAATAGACTTGCAAGGTTTAGAAGAGATAGTTAAAAGCAACACATATTAGAAAAAAGTATTAGACTAAGATAAGTCTACTCTAGGTTGTTCTCATCCCAAGGGAGGTAGGATTTTGTGATTCTCCAAAGTTTTGGTATCATGTTTGTACTAGGAATGATTTTTACTAATTTTTGTCAGAAGTCTCTAGTTTTTCAAGGATATAATTAAAATATGTTTGCTATATTAGTGTTGTGATTTTTATTATATCAAAAGGAGAATCCTTTTCATTATATGAGAATTCATTTTTACATTTGATGATAGAAGTTGATAGGTAAATGTGATTTGGTTTACAGAAATTTACATTACCACTGACATACCCACTGGTAAACGGCCCTCAGTTCCCTCAGACATATCTCACACCTCCACCCTGAATGCCTACATTTTATATGAATGGTATTGGATTACAATGCAAACCAAGGGAAAATGATATTGGGAAGAAAGTCCTGGTGAGTTACTTTTGAAAGGTCACAACCATTGTAAACCTTATGGAGCACAGTTCCATGAAATACATGAGGTCACTATGAGTCAGGATCAACTCAAATGGCAACTGGTTTGGTTTGGGTTTGGGGTGGTACAAATGGTTAAGAGCTCGGCCACTGTACTAGGGGAAAAGCCCCCAGATTCAAACATATCTATTGTTGCTGTTGGTGTTGTTAAATGTCGTTGAGTTGGCTCTAAATCGTAGTGACCCTGTATAGGGTTTTAGAAGAAGGGCTGGTGGGTTTGAACCACGACATTGTGGTTAGTAGTCCAGTGCTTACCCTACAGTGTCACACCAAGATTCCATGTTCTATGCTGTTAAGTGCATTGAGTTGGTTCCAACTTGTAGTGACACTTAAAGGGTTTCCAAGGAGCCACTGGTGGATTTGAACCGCCGACCTTGAGGTTCAAACTGGCCATGCAGTCCAGTGTTTATCCTGCAATGACACACCAGGACTCCATGTTCTATTGTTGTTGTTATCATTGTTAAATGCCATTGTTACGGCAGTTTTGGAGTCGAGAGTGTCACAGCAGCCCTGGGCCCGAGATTGTCACAGCAGCTCTTGATCTGTCATCCAAGAAACTGAAGCCACTAGGAGAGGTGAAGCAGCGTGTCAGATTTTATTAAGCTGGCTGACTCAGAGGAGCTAACTTCTCCAGGTTCTGAGGGCCAAATGCAGAGCAGTGCAGGCTTATATGGGGTCAGAATTGGGGAGGTGTTAGGTTGTGGACTTGTTTGCAGACAGGAGGGAAACCAGAAGATTGGTTCCATTCAGTAACCTGATTAACATTCTAACTTGACTCTTGGGCAGAGAGAGCAATGAACGTTTTTACCTTTTCCTGTTCACCACACAATCGGTTCCAACTCAGCGATCCTGTATAGAGCTTCCAAGGAGCGGCTGGTAAGTTTGAACTGCTTACCTAGTGGTTCAAATCACCAGGACTCCTGCATGTCCCTTTTATTAAGCTTTAAGCAGGGCAAGGAGTCCTGTTATGGTACTGTAGGATAAGCACTGGACTGCTTACTGAAATATCAGTGGTTCAAACCTACTAGCTGCTCCTCTGAAACCCTATACAGGGACATTTATGAGTTGGAACTGACTCAACGACAACACAGCAGGACAAAGACAAAACAATGACAATTTTCCAGATGAGGAAAGCCTTTGGCATGCACACAGTATAGAAGCTGATGGAATCCGTTGAAACACGGGCAATGTGTTCATTAGACTCGTATATGATAGAGGACAAAGAAAGCCATCACAAGTTCATGACTGGTGGCAGTTGAATTCAGCACTGTAACAAGCGGGGCTACAGAAACGGGGAAAGGACTATGATCAGAATACATATATCATTGTAGGTTAAAAAAGGTTACAGCAACACTGTGCTGGCGGAAAAAGATCCCAGATTCAAACATACTCTATAAAAACTTTTATTAAGCCTTAAACAGGGACAAAGCAAAACAAAGACAGTCATCCTGGATGATAGAAAACAAAGGAAATCATCAAGATTACCTTTCCGCCAAAGGAGGGACCCATCTGGTGTGGTTTCTTTGTCTGACAAAGATGACACTGAGTTTGGCACCATAGGATAAGCACTCAACCTCAAGGTTGGTTTAAACAGCAAGGTCAATGGTTCAAACTCACTAGCCACTCCTTGGAAACTTCACACAGGGTATCTCTGAGTTGGAACTGACTCTAGGGAACTTAACAACAACAGCAGAGATAAGGAAGGTGAAGGTTAGCTTTTATTGCAAGAATGCAGGCAAGGAACTGGGAGGAACAAACCTCAGATGGATTTCCATCAAACTGCAGTTACTTTCATTTTTATATACTTTCTAACAAGGAAGTTTTATATATAGCCATTGGATTCCAAGGAAAACATTTGTTATTTTTAGGGGCTAATTAATATTAACCGGGTGCGGTTGGGGGAGGGGTAGTGTCATGACTACCAAGGGGTGTGTTTTTGGACCTATGATGTCAAAAGATGACTATCGGACGCAGAGTTTTCAACCTGCCCTTGCACAGGTGAGCAGAAGCAGTTTGAACCACTCCTCATAGGTTGGACTTAGTTCTCACTTCAAACTAACTTCAGCTAGCTTTGCGTGTTTTCTCATTCCATCAAGTGGGTTTGGCCATTACATAGTATTGTGAGGAATGTAAGGAGGGGAAGAGAGGAGCTGCCTCAATGCTAAGATCATGAAGGGTGACAAGTCAATTCATCACTGCTTTGGAAAGTGGCACAACGGAAACAGGGAAGGACCATGACTGGGATACATACACAATTGCAGATTTTAAAAGATTATGGATTGGTTCTTGGGTCTCTACATGATGGTAGGGGTATAACTCATTACTATGTGGTTCTGAGTCAGTCACCAAATGCCAAACTCACTGCCATAGAGTCAACCCCGACTCATGTGTCTCTATATTGGGTTTTCTGAGACTGTAAATCTTGACGGGAGCAGACAGCCTCATCTTTCTCCCTTGGAGTGGCTGATGGATTTGAACCACTGACATTGCTGTTAACAGTCCACCATCTAACCCAAAGTGCTGCCAGGCTCCCTACAGCCACTAGGACCCCCCTTGTTACTTAGATAACAAGTGGCTATTTTTGACAATTAAGGACATACCCAGGAAAGTTCCTTAGTTTTCTATGTAAGCCTGAGGGCAAACTGACCGTCTCTTGGCCCCCAGTTGCTCCATTCCAGCATCTTGAATTCAATCTACTTTCAATCAATATCTTTCTGAGGGCAAACTGCCTTTCCCCAGGCTTGCCCCAGATTTGTCTCAGCATAACCATTATCACTGGCTTAACTGCCAGAAAGAACTCAAATGGCTTCTGAATTTATGTCAAGAATCAAGATGGAATGAGGGCTCCTGCTGTAGACTACAGGTGAGGACTTGAGATTTTTTTCTCCCCCTTTCGGGTTGTTGTTGTTAAGGGTCATCAAGTTGGTTCTGACCCATAGTGACTCTGTATAGGACTTTTGAAAGATTTAGGTTTAAGGTTAGGACTACCGCTAAGTCTAGGCTAGACCTAGGGTTTTATGCAGGGTTAGGGGTCTGGTTAGGACTAGCATAGTGGGAATGGTACAGGACTGGACTAGGCTAGGAGTAGGGCTTAGTCTA